TGCACACAATGGTTAGAGGCCCAAGGCTCAACATGTTTATCCCACCATAAAAATCCTCACTGCTCTCAACTCTTTAGAGCACATATTCATTTTACAGCTTATATCATCGTATAAGTAACTGCCATCAGCCATCCTTCTTCTACCACTGACATCTAAACAACAGAAAGATTCTATGAAGATTTCACATTAAATAAATTATCCCCCTTCCCATAAAATTGAAGGTAGGAAAGCCATCAAGAAAGTCTGTTTTAAGTGTGTTAAATCAGGGCATGACACAAAGCACTCATTCACCTAAGAGGTATTTAAAAGCACTGAACTGAGAGAGACATACCAAGAGAGACACTTATTAGAGAAAATGCATATTTTTCAGTGCAATAATTGGTAACCTTTCCATAAAGATTGATGCAATCTGATTATAATTCCCAAGTGTCAGTAATCAGTTCTTAAAAACTGATTAAAGAAAAAGGAAGTGGGATGGTTTCAAGCACTCCAAAAAAGATGTAGGAGGATATCCTTTCCCACTGACAGCGATTAAGGTTTGAGTGATGGCTGCTAGAACATTCAGACCAAAAAACTTTATTACATTAGAATACACTGAAATCTATTTAAAACAAAACTTACTGGGTTTAATATACACAAACACAATCCTCACCATGAACTAGGTGTCCTTACTGAACAAACTGGCATGAAGGAAAAACTTACATGGATTCCCATATTTGTCATTATACCGCTATGATACTGGGGAAATGGTGGTGGTCAGCCATAGTCCCATGTTGGAAATCTATTTAAAGGGAGTATCTGACAGCAGTAATAGGCAGGCAGACGTCCTCTGCCCAGCTCCACACACATAGCCATCATGCCACAATGAGGGAGGAACACTATTTCTCAAGGAGGATGGGACAGTCGAAGGCTGAGGATATCCCTAGGGAGTTTCACTGAGCACTGCGCTCTTTAGGGAGCTTGTGGCCTAAAGCTGTTCCTTTTTTCTAAAACTCAACCCTTAAAACTCTGAGTTAATAAGAGCTCTATTAGAGATCAACTCAGTACGATATTATAGAAGTAAGCCCAGTGCTGCCTTTGCTAGGGATCTATTATCCACTGTATACAAGCACTTAAAATTTTTTCCTTCCTACTACAGTTCTATACTCTCAGCCCGATCATAAGAGTTTCACCTAAATATTCTGCACCACAAATTCTGTACATGAAGACAGAACTTTTCTTTCCAACTTTCCAATCAAATAACTGCTTATACTCCCAGTCTAAACTTTAAGCTTGATGCCTAAAATAGGGAAAAAAAACTGTTACAAATACACAAAATCCAACCCACTAAATACATAACAATATCTTAAAATCTGTTTTAATACAGTATAAAAAATTTTACAAATGCAGCTAAGAGGAGAAATAAATGATAGTCTTAATTTTAATTGAGATTTCAGTTTAACTATTACTACTGGTAATTACTTTCCAGGAGTATTTTTAGAATCAAGGTTTAAACAAATTAACTCATCAATGAAATGAAAGCTATCAATAAACAAATTTCTATACTGCCACAGAAAAGAGATTCAAGAGCCCAAAACTGTAGTTTATTTTAGAAAACAAGTTCAAGATTATACTATTAGCCACATATCAGAGGGAAAAGTCTAGGAAATCTCATTAATTTAGTTCTAAACTAAAGAACATTCAGTAATTTCAAGTCTGCCTACATTTAACTTTGGACTATTTTTAAGGAAGGAGTTGCTAAGCAAATTAAAATACAAATAAAAACTGCTAGGAGATTGAATCGATTTTAAAAATTGTTATATGCAAATAACAAACTAGCTCATCCATTCCCTTATTAGAATCCCATATTCCAGTGGAAATCAAATGTCTGAGACAAGAGTCCACAACACTGCTAGAATGTATTAGGGCCCTGGCTGGTGCAGCTCAGTTGGTTGGAGTGTCATCCTGTACATCGAAAGGTGGTAGGTTCGATTCCCAGTCAGGGCACATACCTATGTCTGGGTTTGATCCCTGGTTGGGGTATGAACGGGAGGCATCGATTGACGTTTCTCTTTCCCATCAATGTGTTTTTATTCTCTCCCTTCCTCCCTCTCTAAAATCAGTGGAAACATGTCCTCGGGTGAGGATTAAAAAAAAGTATTAGATAATTTTCCGTCTCCTCTGTTTATTCTGGCTGTGAAAGACTGGCGGAGGAGTCAGAAAAGCTTAATGGGCAGGATATGGGACAAAGATTCATACATTCTCAATTGCTGGCAATCCATATCTCTACTTCTATTTTTAATAAATGTCGAACCACACAATTAAAATACAGCTCCAATTACCTCCATTATAACTAAAATATACTTGGGGGCATTCCTTTATCCTTGTCAAGTAACATACTGAACAAGGCTCCTCTGTCTGTAGTAGGAAACGTAAGCAGGGTTTCTTAACAAGGTCTAGTATACTACCCAGTTTACATACTAACAGCAACAACAACAAAATGAAAAAGCATATATAAAACACAGTAATGTCTGTGAATCTGAAATGAGATATAATCCAAATCAATAGTCTAAACAGAACATCCCAAAATGTTACGGCAGCATGTGTCACTATAATTACGTACATCTATATTTGTGAGGATTTAAAAATCACAGGTGCTAGTTTTATTCTCCAAGAAATTAAATTTCTTAATTAAAATTTAAGATACTTCTCTTTTACATTTTTTTAAAATCTTCACCTGAGGATATTTTTTTCCCCCATTTCTTTTTCAGAGAGAGTGGGAGGGAGGGAGAAAGGAAGAACGAGACAGACAGAGAGAAACATCAATGTGAGAGAGACACATGGATTGGTTGCCTCCTGCACACAGCCAGGGTCGGGGATGGAGCCTGCAACCGAGGTGCGTGCCCTTGGCCAGAATCAAACCTGGGACCCTTCAGGCCATGGGCCGATGCTCTAACCACTGAGACAAACCAGCCAGGGCTCTTTTACATCTTCATTCTAACTTAATGACGATATACACCAATCATTTACTCCTTCAAAAATGGTCTGCGTGTCTATCATGTATGTTCTAGGTATCATAAGAGCTGCTGGATAAGCTGGTAAATAAAATACTCTTGGTCCTGGCCTTGATGATGTGAACTTGCGCTGAAAAGCACTCACATGAAAGGCAATCTATATTACAAGAATATGCATTTTATATATAGCAAAAAGATAATTTTTTTAATCCTCACCCAAGGATATGTTTTTACTGACTTTGGAGGGGGGCAGAGAAACATCGATGTGAGAGAGAAACATTTATCTGTTGTCTCTTGTACACGCCCTGACTGGATACTGAATCTGCAACCTAGGTATGTGCCCTGACTGGGAAGTGAACCCACAGCCTTCTGGTGTACGGGATGAGAGTTCAATTGGCCGGGCCAGGAAGAGATCAATTTTAATTGGTTTTGTATTAAGTCAAAGAACAAAGAGTAGGTCAATGACAAAGTTGGTGTGTTCCATGTGAGATCTTCCTTAAATAACCCTTTTGATTGAAATAAAATCTAAAACAAACATAAAATTAGACTCAGAGATGTTGAAGCATGAAACAGACTGTTTTATCTCAGAGGGAAGGGGGTGGGAAGAGATTAACCAAAGAAATTATATGCATAT